ATAAATAAACGAATATATAATTCAATAGTTATGTGATAACCTTCAAAATTCATTAGGCCTACAGGGAAAATAGAAGGTGGAGACTGAGACGAGGGTCAAGGGGGGAAAGGGGGAGAGGGCAGGAGTGAGGGGAGGGGGAGGGGGAAGAGGGGAAGGGAAGGGGTTAAGTTGAGGAAAGCTTAATCTGCAGGATAATGAGATATTGCATCACAGGATGACAGACGCATTATATTCAATAAAATCCATAGGGATTCCCTTTGCATTTCCAGCATGTGAACAACGGAAACGACCAAAGTGACGCGAGCCAAGCCATTTGCACGGTCAGTTGTACTTTCATAAAAAGTAAACAGTTGGTCATTAAACCTGGGGTAGGCGAGCACCGCGACCTGACCTGCTGTGTCTATGAGGTGAAGGGTGAGCATCAAGGAAAGGAGCGAGGTTGCTGCCTTTTAGTGAGTGTTTAGGGTTGGTTTGGAAAATGCGGGTTCATTCCAGGCGCGCAACTAGGAATTCTAGAGGGCATGGGTCCAGGCCACAAAAAGGGCACAATATGAATTTTATATCTGCTAAATCATAAGCACGCTTGATTACTTGCTGCTGATTAGAACTTCCCTCTTCAGTAGTACTTACACTTTCCCCAACTTCAGAAGATGGACTGTCCTCGCTGCTACCAGTGCTGTTGTCATCTTCCTCGCTGGTCTTTTCACTGCGGGCAACATTGTCGTCTATTTCTTTCCTTTGGTCTACACTGCTTTCGCCAAGAGACTGTCACAGAAATGGGCTTTTCTTTTCTTGACGAATCGAAATCATTGCGGGCTATTTTGAAGAAAGTAAGTTTTGTGTCCCTGGTCTTCTGCAGCTCGCTTGTGCTGTTTTCTTCTGCTTCAAAACTCTTTCTTTTCTAGGCATGACTGTAGATATAAAACCAATAATTAACTATCCTGACAGAACCTACCACCAATGTGGTCTGGTCAGCAGAAGAGAAGCAGAAATGAATAATATATCTAGCAGATATTCAACATGGGAATACAAAACACTACCATTCTTTGTGCTATGTTTGTTTGTGCTTCTTCTGAAGTTCATTCTTTTAGATCTACTGTTATTTACTCTTCGATCCAAACTTTAATAATATCAAAGTATAAGAAACGTTTTTGTACTTGGAATTTGAATAATTTAGAAACTATTTTCCCAAACAACCATGAACTTATACGCAAACAGATTTAACAACAAACCGAAGAAACAGTTGCTACCGACTTGAATTGCTGAACGAAAATGGAAATCTTACTTGAAAATTACATTGTTTGAATGAATGCCATGTCGATCATTCATCAGAAGGAACTATCATGTTAAAATACTTATTCGAAATATGCCGTTAAGGAAATCATTAACCACCACCGATCTCAGTTAACAACAATATTTAATCATTTCATTTCTAAACGGAAGTCTCGCATTATCCCTAGAAAAAGGGCACTCACCCCTTTGAGAAAAGGGGCAGGGGTTCGGACCCCCCCCCCCCCACGCAGTTGCGCGCCTGCATTCGCTGTTCTTGGCAGAACAGAAACAAAAGAAACGAATTCTTCAAAGTGCATTTGTGGCCTAACATTAAAAGACCGATTAAATGCCTTTAGGACAGAGGTTTCGGAGCAGATACACCTCTTAATAGACAGCAAGCAGCCGGGAATTTAGGGTAAACGGCTTCGTTCATTTGTCTTTCTCTTGTTCACCGATTTTCCTTTTTCTTCTGATCAACCAACTAACATTTGCCTCTGAAATACCTCCCTCCCTCTGCCGTAATTTCTTCCTGGCGGGTTTCCAAAGAGCAAGAAGTCTCACCTCCAACGGCGCCCCGCACACACTTGGCCAGGCCGCGGCTGCTCACCCTCCCGCTGGTGGGTTTGACCGCCACGGCGCCGCAGAAGTGCGCCGGGATGCGCACGCTGCCCACAACCAGCACCGATCCCCCGCCGCCCACGAGGGCCGCCTCGCCGCCTGGAGGAGGGCGGAAGGCGAGCAGTATCATGCTAAACATTCTGACACAAGCAACAATACTTTTTGAAATACAGTTGTCAATGGTACGAAGCTAATGGTATCCCTCATTTTCCAACTACTTCAAGGTATGTGTGGCTTATCTGAATATTGCAAATTCCATCCCTTATGGGAATAAAATTTTCTGACCGTAAATTCGTATGAATTCCGGAATGACTATTCGAGACATGAATTAGACCGATAAATTCGAAACCCAAAATACCAACCCTTCCGTAACATGAGGTTCTGTTCGATATTGAATGTTTCGACACCCATCCTGACGATAGTTTTCTGTGTAGTTGTACCTCATAGCCAAGAAAACTGCAAGCAAACAAAGAATCCGAGAGGCATAATACAACATAACCTTAGCCTTACTAAACCTCCTCAAGATGGCTTACTAACGTCTCGCCCTCGGCTAAAAATACGTCATAGATGAGCATTTTTTTTTGTTCTGCATTCGTCTGTCAACGTAGTATACACGGAAATGTGTTATGTACATCCTGCAAACACGCATGATCTAATACCGAACTTTCAATATAGAGTATTTAGTTCCAAGGTAGTTTTTTTCACTTATAGTTATTAATCGCCTAGATAAATAATATCCAGAGTTTTATATTCCTCCTCTAAGGGCATTTATGGCGATGGATTTGCATCTGAAAATCTGATTGGTCTATTATCTTTTTGGTGAGTGAATGTTGTGGGTGTGAGTTCCCACAGGCATGGCTTGGTCCTGGAGGTGAGCGGAGATCGACGGCGAAGGCCTTGGCAGGCCTGTGTTGCTTGTTGCTGTGTCGGGCTGTTTCAGTTCAGTTTTTCCTCCCCACTGGAGAGAAGCCTTAGTACGGTAGTACAAAGGCTTCAGCTCGCACGGCACAGGAGAAAGGGAGAGGGAGAAAGGGAGAGAGAGAGAGAGAGAGAGAGAGAGAGAGAGAGAGAGAGAGAGAGAGAGAGAGAGGAGAGAAGAGAGAGAGAGAGAGAGAGAGAGAGACTTGCGAAGTCCAGCTTAGCCCGGGCCTTTTCTCTATAGTGGCCCGGCCTGTGTCAGCCATTTCTAGTTGACTCGTGTTTTTTCTTTGAACTGTATGCTTAGCGTGGTGGCTGGATTGCAACCAAACGATGGCTGGATTGCAATCAAACGATCCAGCTGCCACAGTATAAGCATGTGGTATATCCTTTTTTACCAGCCTGGCCGCTGTGGTGGGGGACCCTGTCTCAGAAATTGTGTTTTCACAATTCTGTAAGTAATGTTACAGAGTGGCGTTCGGCTCGCCGCAATACTTGCATTCCCTGACAACCACGCCATCAAGAATTTGCCAAGCGCATGGGTAACCTAGTCTTAAGTCTGTCAGCAAGCTCATTCCCTTGGATGCCTATGTGGCTGGGGACCCAGTCTATGATTATTATTCTACCCTGACCAAGGAATCTGGGTTATGGTGAGGACAGTGGTCATAAGGTAGATGATGTCTTGGGGCATGCTATGCTGTAGACTGTTAATGGTTGCTCTAGTCTGTGTGTATGGCCACGTCTCCATCCCTTAGGAACGCATCGGTCAGGGCTCCAGTAATCGCAACCGACCCTAATGGATATTGTGGTATCCCTTGCTGCTGGGATCCACGGATCCATCCGTGTAGTAGGTTCTACTACCCGGAGTTATTTGAGCAATGGCCCTTTGTACTTGTGCCTTTAGGCTAAGCATAGAGTACTGATCCTTTCTCCTTGACAAGCTCAGGACTGAGGACTCTGTTGAACTGAGTTGTTTGCCCGCGGCGGGGGTTCTTTGGGAGTTGTCCACAAACAGCTGATAATCTTGCTGTACTCTTTGTCTTATGGATGGATTTCGGGATGCCTGTAAGACCTTGGAAAGGAATTGGGCTGCCATTAAATCAATTCGGGTGTCCAGGGATGGCAGGTCGGTCTCCACGAGGTTAATGACCTTTGTACATCTGGGTGCACCCAGAATGATCCTGGCTGCTTCATTTTGAAGCGTTTCCAGTGTTTCTTTTAATGTTGGGCTGGAAGCAATGAGGGCGGCATAGTCAACAATAGGCCGTACAGCATGTACATAGAATGATCATAGTACTTTGTGTCCCGGTCCTTTGTCTCTCAGTCATTACTTTCATGATTGACAGTCTTTCCTTGGTTCGGTCAAGCAGGTACTGGATCTCCTTTTTGAAAGTGAGTGTGTGGCCTATCCATACGCCAAGGTATATGTAGTCCTTCACCCATTCCAGATCCATGCCCTGAACAGTGAGTTTTTTTGTTTATGGCATTGGTTCTCAGTGCCATAGCTTTTGATTTTGCTGCCGAAGTCTTTAGACCCGTCCTAAAACACTTGAGACACGAGATTCAGACAACGCTGGGCTCTAGTTAGGCGGTGGTTACAAAAGGCGATGATTGCTGGATCATCTGCATAAGAGATGATCTTGTATCCCTCTGGCAGGTGAATGTTGAGTATGTTGGACATGAGGGTATTGAAAAGTGCAGGACTGAGAACCCCACCCTGAGGCGTTCCATTTTTGAGTGGCATGTGCTGAGATAAGTGACCTTGAAATCTGACATTTGCTGTTCTGTCTTTGAAATAGTCAGATATCCAGGCCAAGAGTCTACCATTGATTCCCATGTGGAGAAGCGTCTCTGAATGGCGAGGGGACTTGCCATTTAAAAAGCCGTCTCCAAGATTAGGAATGCAACCACAGAGGGTGTAGTGCATATTAAGCTTAGGAGTGTGGCGATGCTATGGGTTGTAGTTATACCCCTTGTGAACCTGTGCAGGTGTTCATGAGGGGGTCCCATTTTCCAACGAAGCCGATTTCGTACCATCTTGGCTGTTTTGGCTAGACAACTGAGGAGAGAAATGTGTCGGTACCTGTCTGGCTCGTTTGGTTTTAGGATGGGAACTATTATGGCTTGTTTCCAGCTCTGGGGTAGTGTGGCAGTTTGCCAAGACTTATTGATGAGCTGCAAAAATGCAAGGT